AATCAATCAATCAATCAATCAATCAGGGGGGGGGAGACTCCTCCCCCACCAGTCAATCAATCAATCAATCAATCAATCAATCAATCAATCAACCAATCAATCAATCGAGAAAAAAAAAATCCACGAAACTAATCAATCAATCAATTAATCAATCCATCAATCAATCATTCAATCAATCAATCAATCAATCAATCAATCAATCAAAGGTGGGGCGGGGCGACCCCGCCCCCACTAATCAATCAATCAATCAATCAACGGAAAAAAAAAAAAAAGGGCGTTTTTTTTTTCCAATTTCGTTCGATTTCGCCCATACCCCGCCCACCAAAAGTTGATCTTTTTCGTTTTTTGTTTGTGTGGGTGGTTGGGGCCGGGGATGCGCCGCCACGTGGCGTATCCCGAATTTCGAAAGTTGCTTCCGCGCGGCCGCCACGTGGCTTCAACACGTCCGCGGGGTCAGCGGACTGACCGCGTCCGCGGATTCGGCCGCAGATGGCCGCCGACGAGGGGGATTCATAGCCGAACACGCGATGGCAGCCGCCACGTGGCGGTCCTTAAAGGCCCAACCCGGCAGGGTCCCAGCCCTTCCGGGCAGACCTGGCCCTGAACTGACGCCCCCAAAACAAACGACGCGGACGGCCTTGAATAACCCGCGCATGGCCTCTGCCTTGTGATTGGAAGCGGTCCGTCTCCCCAAACCAAATTGCACCCGTGCCCCCAAAAACTCTGCCATAGGAGATCTCAGTTGTGACCTGGGACTCCACCCCCACTTTCCCCAAAAATCCTTGGCACACCCCTTTTCGCACTTCGAGGCCCACATCCCACTCCGATCAGGAAGTCGCGTTGGGCGTGAGGTTGGTATCGGAGCCCGACACTTGGTCGAGTTGTAAGGATTAAATAGCACGATAGTTAAGCGATCTGGCTAACCGAGGGTGACCTCGACCCCGGAACGCGCATAGACGCGACCCGTCATCACTTGAAGCAGATCGACTAATCAACGGGCAGCCAATATGAACGCTAATCCACAGAATCCAAACCCACAGCAGCTAGCCACGCTTCGGGCGCAGCGGTACGACGATAACGAAGCTTAGGTAAACATTCGCGTCCGATTAGGAGGGGACGCTCATCATTGGTTTAGTACCTACGTATGGGTGGATCTCCCGACTTTTGAGCTAGATTTTTTGAATCGATTTGACTATGTCCATCCAGAGCAAGCACTCTACATGATCAAGGACCGAGTTCAAAAACCTCTCGAGTCCATTGCAGAATATCGAAACCAGTTCTACCGAATGTTTGTGAAAACTGAGCGGGGCGAACAATTAGGGAGAGATCTGTTTATAGACGGACTCCGCAACCGAACGATTAGGGCGAAACTGCGGAAACAGTTCTCCCCCATCAATCACACGCTGCAACAGATTATGGCAGCTGCAGAGGAGATGGAACGGAAGTTTGCGGCGAGCTTCTTAGAAGAAGAAGACTATCCTAAGGAAGGAGACTCGTTCGAGATTTCGAGGGCAAGGGCTGAGCTGGCTGCGTTGCAAAACAAGTTCGAAAACATGGGGTTTGTATCAGGACATGTTACCTATATGGAACAGATATCCCCCAAACGACCAGCACCTAGTGTAATTACGGGCATGCTCGCCCCCGTGATACCAGCACCCGTAATGACGGCACCCTCACCACCAATCGAGAATCCCGTACGGCCGAATGAATCGACCGCCATATTTGAACTGACCAAAACGCTAATTAGTCTGATCCAAGAAAGCAAAAAGGAACAACGGGAGCATAATGCTCGGTTGGAGGCTATGATGAGGAATATGCGACCCATCGCAGTACGAGCCGCCCCGATCCAACAAGGATTGGCCTCAGCACCTGCTTTCGGAGGGGCTGCGAATAATCTGAACGTTTGTTACGCATGCCATCAACCCGGACATATGGCTCGAGATTGTGCCCATCGACCCCCACAACCGAGGGTCGGAGTCGCTCCAATGGCCGCGGCTCCCATCGCCAACGGACTTGGATGGGTAGGAGCCCTGATGGAAGAAATGGAGGGCGTAGGTAGTATGCTAGCTACTATAGAAGAGGCTGCTGAGCTCATTCCGTTGGATCAATATGTATCACTTGGATATCCAGGACTAGGAATGATTGGAACAATCAGACTTGCGCCGGAACAGAAAGAGGTGGCGGAGTGGCGACCCTCTCCAGGAGAGATGGAGTCGGGAGGACCTACCTTCGTCACTGCTGAGATCGATGTTCTGAACATCGTCCGAGCACTAGACCACCGAATTGCTCTTCTAATCGGTCATCTGCTTTCCATATCAGAACAGGCCAACGAGCGAATGTTGCAACACTGCAAAGCCAATCAAAAACGATTCGCTCTTGCTTGAACAACGAACACGAAGGCGAAGGGACCCACACCGGATAAGAATACTGCAGGCACTTCCGATCCCATATGTATAGGACTGGTGCAGAAAGATGACCATTTCCTACGGATTAAACCTATCCCATGGAAATTCGCGGAATGCGATATCAAAGTATGGGGAGTCCCGTATAATGCAATTATCGATTCGGGAGCAGCTATTTTGGCTATTTCGCTATGAGTAGTGGAAAGAGCGGGAAAAAGGAACGACTTGATCATGCTCACAGAAAGAGATCAGCTCGTTTCCGCAGACGAAGAAAAGATTAAAACGGTGGGATGGATGACCAATATTGCATTTCGATTAGGGAAGGTGCATGCTTTGGGAGATGTCGTGGTACTAGATGTCAATACCTACAACGTTCTTTTTGGCCTTCCCACCCTGGTAGCATTGCGAGCTAATCTAGACTTTGAAAGACGGTAAATTATCCTCCGAAATACGAGAGGCAAACCTTATGTTGTCCCGATGAGACTGACCTTGCGAACCACGGCTAATAAAGCCCCACGAGTTTCCCCCACGATGACAGGGACTCTTCGTGTGATCACCTGGGATAACGGGCAGACGTCCGAGAATGCAGAAAGTAGTGACGATGATGATGACCCCGAAATTTTGGAAATGGCACGAGAGCGTATCTATTACCCAATGCAGCGAACGAACGACAAAGCTCCAAGCAGAACTAAACCAAATTTCCGGAGAACACAGACAGTGATTATGGGAGAACCTCTCGTACAAATTTCGAGGATGGTCGACTCTTTGGAACCCCCTCAAACCCTGTATGAAGGGATATCCCCGCTTCTTGCCCGATACAATGACAAAAGACACTACTACGATATCACCGACCTCCCGAAGTTTCTGTTTACACCCGCAAAAGAAGTCCGATTGTTACGATTGGGGGCAGAGATCAACTCTTTGGAACCCCCTAAGCGCCTCGAAAACGGACTCGGAATCAAGATCGCAACCAAACATGTGCCCTGGCAAGACTTTCGAGACGGGGTAACGCCGGAAGAACACGTGGCCTCTTGTGAACAGGATGCACAGATGATGGCCACGGTGTTTTCATGGCGGTTGGATAACTAGTTTATCTTTGCGCCCCCGCAGGAGAACACTAAGCGGATCAACACCAAACACATCGACGTAAGAATATGGGGTGGAGCATATGAGTTGCACGTACCCCAATATGTGCGTGATGAGATCTATCACTTAATCGCGGACATTCTTAAAGAATATAAAGAAGCGATTAGTGTGACAGACACTGACATCGGCTTGTCGTTGGTCATACAACACGAAATACAAATGGGGAATCATTCCCCGATTTACTGCAAGCCCTACCGGTACTCCCTGGTAAAACGGAAGAAGGATCTTGAACGGATTCGGAAATTCGAAGCAAGCGGTTGGATCGAACCTGCCACTGGACCTTGGTCATTCCCGGTAGTATTAGTACTGAAGAAGAACGGATCGATTCGCATATGTATCGATTATCGTAAGCTGAATGATATCACGATCAAGGATGTGTACCCCCTCCCCCGAATTGATGATTTGCTGGATGCGATTGGGTGTGCTAATTATTTCAGTAAGTTTGATATTCGACATGACTTCCACCACATTCTGGTCAAGGAGGAAGATCGGCCGAAGACGGCTTTCGTATTGTTTGAAGGCACTTGGCAGTGGGTTCGGTGACCGATGGGTATATCCAACGTGCCGGCCACGTTCCAACGAGCTATGAACATCACGTTCCGGAACTTCGTCAATAAGACGCGGCTCACGCAAGGGATGATCAACTTTTGCATCATCGTGTACATACAACATCCTGGTTTATTCGGAAACCTATCATGGACATGCGCAACACATCGAATGGACACTAGGCGCTTTACGAGACGCCGAATTCAAGATTGCGCTCGAAAAGAGCGAAATTAGGAAGTCGATTGTCTAGTGTTGTGCTATATATCAAGTGGGGCAGGCTATCCTGAGTAGCAATGGCGCTATACGGCTATAGGCCTGGTTGTTGGCGGCACATGGTGCGCTGGGTCCCAGTGTCGGGTGAAGGTCCTCAGATGATGGGGGAAAGGGTGTCCGACTGAAGGTTTGCATAGAAGGGGGGAGAGAGGAGGAGATGCAAGGTGACCAAAGGCTTCAGTTTGCCATTTCTGAAGCACGCGACAGGGCGGAACGAAGGTGCAGACGAGATGGGGTGACCGTGGGCTTGAGGGTGACGGTCATCTATCATAAGACCGAGTCATCAACTGGGACCGAGACAAGGGAGGAACAACATAACGAAAGAGACTCAGGTGGGGAGAGTGAAATGAGCGAGGCGGATCGAGAGACGGATCTCAGGTCCTGGAACGGACCCGAGGAGATCCGAAAGCACCACCGAGCCGCGGAGCCGGTGGAAAAAGGACCTGAGGCCAGCTCTCGACAACTCACGCCCAGAGGCCTTGGAGCGGAAAAGGAGCAGAACAAGGGAAAAGGACGAGTGTGAGGGAGCCGCAAAGGAGGTCAACGAGAGGTGAAGCAACGCGGGTGACCAGAGCACGTTTTCGGTGGATATGATTGACGTCAACCAGTGCCTCCTCTCGCATAAGTAGTCCAGTGTCAGTTGAGCCGCGGCAAGTTTGAGTGCCATGCCAGAAGTGACCTGCAATCAGTAATTCTCCTTTGCTCCCCTTTTCTTGTCGCTCGGCAAGTGATCAGTCACCATATCGTCTTCTTGCGCTTGTTGTCAGAGCGAACTGTTTTTAGGAGCGCTTTCTCTCTTGTTCGGTGCAAGTGCACGAAGGAAGTGAGTGATTGGGACGCGAGCAGTACACAGTCTACTCGCGGCAACCCAGGGAGGCGAGAAGAACGTTGGCTGAAGTGAGAGACGACGAGGTGGTAGACGTCGAGCAGGGAACAACGAAGAAGGGGAAAACGTATAGAGAAGACGATAGTTTTAGCCATGGTGACGGCCCGACGCCAAGAGAGAGGAGGTTGCTCTTGCGAGCCGAGAGCAGGCACGAGTGGCCAACTGGTTTACTCGAAAGGCTCTGCTGCGTTCACGCGACAAATGTGTCGTGGTCTGTCCGTCCATGCAAGCATGCAGTGATCGAGAGAGACTTGAGTTGATCGTGACCTAACGAGATACGAAGCTCTCTTCGTGGGCGTTGCTGGTGATACCCTGGCGAGGTGAATGTCGCGATGAGCTTCGGGAGATTAGGGTGTGGAACAGTGGAACTATCAATCTAAGAGGGACGAGCAGTACTTGTGAGACGCGGGGTTGTCCAGAGATCGGACTGTAACGGCTATCTCTAACTGTCAACTTGAGAGGTAATAGCTGTGTCGTGTGGGTGGGCACTAGTAGTTCTCATTTCTGTAGCATCCTGTTGTTGCTAGTTGACTTCCGGTAGAATTTGAGATCGCATGTTCTTGCTACGCCTCTGTCTAGTCTCGGGTAAGGTTCTCGTAGTGGGGTTTGATCATGCCGGGTCGAACCTGGGGTGAATGTGCAGTTACCCTTCGTAGCAACCTTGCTTTTAATGAGAACAGATCTTCATCGTCGGCGCGTAAAGATTACCTTGTGCCCCTTTATCGATCGTAGTCAGAGCGACTTTCTCGCACTGTTGGGAGAATCAGGGGTTGGTGCGATCGTTCGAGAGTTTCATGCAAGAAACAACGGGGTAAGAGCGCGATCACGGGTATACAATGTGTGTGGATTGCAGATAACTAAACAACTTCCTTGCACTCATGCTAGCAGTCTTAATCTAAAGGGGGGTGGGGAACTTGGCTATGGCTCTGCTATAGGCAACTGTACGCCCTTTTAGCGAACTCTGCTTGGTTGAGCTTGATCTATTGCTTCTCAGCCAGGTCATTTAGACATCATGAACAACCTGGATTTTGACTCTTCTTACCCCCTAGAGTGGCTGTACGAGAGCTTGAATGTATGGGTTTATAATTGTGCATCCGATCTAAATGGTTGTCAGCGACCATGAGAAGTTGTTTTGCAATTAGCAATTAATTGAGTGTGAAACGTGCAAGTTAGTGTGTACTCGCGTGAACGGGATGACCGCTTGATTGCGACATGTGAATGATTGCTCTACTGCAACATGTGGATGACTGCGCTATTGAGACGTGTGAAGGAATGCGTGATTGCATTGTGTGACAGTGCCTTGTGACTGCATTGTGTGACTGTGCCATGTGACTGCATTGTGTGAGAGTGCCATGTGACTGCATTGTGCGACAAGTGCCGTCTAACGGCATTGTGTGACAATGTTGTATGACTACGTTACGTGATTGCGCTGTGCGATTGTTCTGAGTGACAGCACCTTGCAATTACTAATCGCAACTGCCTAAGGGCGTGAGTGGGTTGGAGTGCGTACTCTCGCCTGATTGAATAATTGCCTATAGTAGTAAGAGCTCGATCGTACCTTATGGTAAATCTGATGCATGTCTGAGTAGGCTGGCGAACGCATGTACGAGCAAGACCAAGCGCCCCATAAGATTGATGACTGCCGCAGGCGTCTGATCAAATATGCAGGCCTTCTTTAAGGCCTACCTAGTGGGTTTGAGTATTAGAGGGGAGTGAAGAAAAATGTCCTCCATTGGTTGTGTCCCATACCTTGACCTCTGAGTGGATGGGGAAAAGAAAGTCGGTACTGAGGAAAATCACCTACATCCTCGTTAAATTCCTACTCGAAGGCGACTGAGTGCCTATTTTGCTTTTACCCTCTTTCTCTTATTTCGCAGAAGCCTCGTGCCTCAGTTGACCCGTATGCAATTGGTGATAGTTTGAATATTGAGGGCAGTTTCCTAA